GGTAACTGTGTACGCATTGGATGAAAGACTGCATGTATGTTTGATTCATACAGGTGTATAGATATAAATAAGATTGTGTACATGGATAATACATACACAGGCTTTGAATAAATGATTGTGTACACAGATATTACTGTACATGCATAATGAATATAACAAATATCGTACATCACTAACGACATGACAGATTATATGTTCCTCTTCGTAGCATTCACCAGCTGTTAAATCCAGCGGATGTTTATTTTGTTCATCCACTTCTAGACTCAGGTATTGTTGCAGAACTTGAGTTTTGCATTTAGCACGCACATCCATTTTACAGGCCTAGCTTATTTGTATGCAGACTGTTATTCCCTCTCTCTCAGGCAGATACTCCAACTTCAAAGGAAAACACTCTTATTTTGTAAACTTTTAAAAAACGCTCGTGAGGGTGGCAGTGGGTCTATCCCCCCCCCAACCCCCCACAAATCGGGCTGCGGAACCAACACAGGAAAGATTATATGTTTAACTTCAGTATCTCTATGTCGTCGGCGTCTGTGGCTTAGGCATTGTGAATGTACTTCATAATGCCGGGGTGCTGGGTTCGATACCAGCTGCGGACAGTTTGTCTTGCATTGATTTCGACAGTGGTGCCAAGAGCTGACTGTTCAGCAAGCGGTGGCAAACTACTGAATGTAAAATTTGCCTAAAGAGACTACAACAGCCAAACAATGCTGGGCTTGGTTCTGCAACATCCTATAAAGGATACGCTAACTAACTAAGTTTAAAAAAAAAATTTCGATGTTACTGCAACTGCTGTATCATCATCATGCAGCAGGTTCTTTGCAGAAATTGCTTTCTCATTATATTATGTTGCACAGCCACTTGCAATCCTGTCAACTTTCCCGCCCCAAGAACTTTCATTCCTAAGGTGTCCTTAATATCCTGTGACCCCTGCTGTCATGTTGGCTGACCCCTGCTGCTTATTACAAGAGTCATACTCCTCCTTATAATTGCTGCTGTTGTTGTTGGCATCTTTCCATCTGTTTCGGACATATATAACACTGGAATTGATCATTTAAATCTACACAATTTAGGAAATTATCATCAAACTGAAATGGTTCACTGTTTAGGTTCTCGGGTCCCATTTGGGGGAGGGGTTAGACCCACTGCCCCCCACCCCCCAACAACAAGAATGTTGTACAAGGTGACTTATTAGAGTGCATCTGCCTGAGAGGCAAGGAACCAACAGTCTGTCCACAAATAAACCAAATTTGTAAAATGCATGTGCATGCAACACTTAAGTTCTGGAACAAGACCAAGGTTCAGAAGTAGAGGAACAACCAGAACTTTCCACCAGAGGTGACAGCTGGTGAACATGTAGAAGGAGAAGATCAGACACACATAATAAAGCAAAACAGTGAAGTGAACTAAATGTCACAATCCTATGACATCAGAAAGTCATGATCCGTCACCCACCAAATGTTTTCATGAACTGACTTGTCACACGCATAATAGTACAACCAAATTGGAGGCACTGGCAAGGTTCAATACAAACAGAGAAATGCCAAATGATACTCTGATTATATTTACCAAAAGTGAGATTACTTTCTCTGTGACAGACAGACAGACAACAAACCTTGCTGTCTTGTACATCTGACACAGACTGACAACAGACTTTGCTGTCATGTATATGTAACACAGATAGACAACAGACTTGGCTGTCTAGTACATGTAACACAGACTGACCACAGACTTTGCTGTCCTGTACATGTGATACAGAAGACAACAGACCCTGCTGTCTTGTACATGTGACAAAGACTGGCCACAGACTTTGCTGTCTTGTACATGTGATACAGACAGACAACAGACCTTGCTGTCTTGTACATGTGGCACAGACAGACAACTGACCTTGCTGTCTTGTACATGTGACACAGACAGACAACAGACCTTGCTGTCTTGTACATGTGACACAGACAGACAACAGACCTTGCTGTCTTGTACATGTGGCACATACAGACAACAGACCTTGCTGTCTTGTACATGTGACACATACAGATGACAGACCTTGCTGTCTTGTACATGTGACACAGACAGACAACAGACCTTGCTGTCTTGTACATGTGACACAGACAGACAACAGACCTTGCTGTCTTGTACATGTGACAGACAGACGACATATCTTGCTGTTATACACATGTAAAACTGACAACAGATCATGCCATCTTGCACACATCACATAAACAGACCTTACACATAGACAACTTGGACAAACACTGGACCTTGCAGTCTTGCGTGTGACACAAGCAGACATACACCCACACCTGTACATCTATAAACTAACATAAATTATTTTGACAAATGCCAATTCTGTAGACTGATCCGTCCCAAAGTTAAAACATTCTCAAGGCGAAATGGCATAAAAACATTTTAAAAAAAGATTTAAAAAAAACAAGATAAAAAAAAAAACAAAACAATTAGATTCTTTGCATAAATGTGATATTTTACAAATGCATAAACTGTTATCTCACCCAAAAAAAAATAAAAATGATACCAGAATCTAAGTGATAACTTTAATCAATGAAAATGGCACACCTGACTGAAACAGGAATCTAAACTGGTATATCCCAAACATGGAAACTGCTATCCCCCACCCAACAGGGTATGTCCCTAATCAGGAAAGTGACACTCTCAAACAGGATCTTAACGGATACCCCAAACAGGGAAAAGTTAAAGTGATTTCAACGCACTCAGCGTTATGCCATATGTCTCAGTCTTTCCCCCCCTCTGCAGAACAGCCAGCCACCTGTTGAAAGCAAAAGCGCTTCAGAATGGTGAGGTACCCAGTTCGATTCCATCCGCAGGCTGTTTAGCGTAGAGAAGATCCTTCTGTGTTAATTTCTTTAATGGTATCAAGAGCCAACTACTCAGAAAGAAATGATTTCTTCTTCTTCTCTTCCACCTTGTACCTTATCGAAGTGTCAGGGGGAGATGTAACATTCATTGATGAGCTCTGTCAAAAGCACTATTAAGATTAAAGTTCATTTCTGTAAGGCTGTTCTTAATGCCATCACTCCATATTTTCCAAGGTCTTCCACTCGCTCTATACCCATTGTAACGTTTTAGTGTGGCTCGCTGTGGCGGATAGTGCCAGGGCATTCTTGTTAGGTGTCCAAACCACTTCATTTGTTGTTCTTTGATGACCTGTAAGACTGGCTTTATTCCTAGCATTCGTCTAATTTCGTGGTTTTCGTATTCTGTCTTTCCTTGAAACTCCTGCAGCTCTTCTAAGGCATTTCATCTCTGTTGTCACAATTTTACGTTCATTTAAGGATGTAAGTGTCCACGTTTGGCACTGATAGCATAGCGTTGGCCCCCCCAAAAATAGTTCTCTTAAAATTTACTTTAGTACTCTGGGGTATCAAAAGCAATGACAAACTACTGAATGTAAATTTGCCTAGTAAAACCCACAGCCAAGAAATGCAGGGGCTGATTCTGCAATGTCCTGTAAAGGATGCACAACTAACTTGATTAAACGAACTGCCCACCAGTGGATAGTATTCTTCAACTCTCAACAAGCAATGAACATGAAGAGCACACTGAGACACTACAGGCACATAAAGGACAACATAACACTGCATTTACAATGCTACAGATGGAAATTGAAGACTCACATTCTGTACCATACATATACATACATTCCATAGTATTTTACTATACATAAATCATAAACTGTCAGCTGGGAGAAGGATTCTGGCCAACGTACATCATAAAATTATTATTTTGTATGTCGAGAGCCTATATTCTAACCCAGTCCTACAACAGTATTTTTCTGCTTCTTTTTTCTCTTCTTCTTCTATTTCTGCTTCGTCTTCTATTTCTTCTGCTTGTGTTTCTATTTCTGCTACTTCTTCTTCCATTTCTATTACTTGTTAAATGTCTACTACTTCTTCTTTTTCTATTTCTACTACTTCTTCTGCTGCTTCTTATATTTCTTCTATTTCTACAACTTTTTCTTCTATTTCTACTTCTATTTCTTCTGTTTCTTCTTCTATTTCCTCTGCTTCTATCCTCCACCTCTTCTGCTTCTGTTTCCTCATCTTCTTTTGCTTAAATTTCCTCCACTACTTCTGCCTTTTTTAAGAGATGATATGTAGCTGATCTACATCACATTTGGTTGTTTGGTATGCTGTGATGCTGCAAAGTTTCTAACTGCCACTGACTCTGTCAGCCCATATTCTTCTAGGTTTCCCTCTGCAACTTTATTGTTCTCATTTTCATGCAGGATGCTTCTTTCTGCCGGCATCATTGGATTCATTCTTACCAGGTGGCCAAACCACTTCAGATTTCGTTTCTCAATGAATATAATGATTGACATTGTTCTAATAATTCTTTTAATCTCTTCATTTCTCACAAAATCTATTTTGGTTTAATATTTGGGACAGATTATAGAAACACAAAAATATGCTAAGCCAAACAACACATTGTGTGTGTGTGTGTGTGTGTGTGCGCACGCGCGTGTGTGGGTAATAAATGACAGAAAAATATATACAGTAAAATCTTACTTATATGAATAACTGGCTTTACATAAGAATAAACATAACATTGTCTGAAGATCACATAAGATTTGCACAGCCATTACACTATTTATAAAATTAGAATGTCATCTTTCAAAGACAAAATTGTTTAGCATTTTTGCATAGAACGATATACAGCATTTCTTAACACTAGCAATATTGTTTCGTAACCGTACAACTACTCATTCTGCCAACAATTTCTAGCTTTGTGTAGACTTTCTCATAAAATACTATTAATTTGCTTAAAAACAAAACAAAAAAATAATGTAAAAATGTAATTAGTTTACTAAGCCAACAATTGCTCTCCAGTGCCGCTTTACAAAATATATATTTCACCCAGTAACACTGTATCTTAAAAAAAAAAAGGATTTCATCAGCTGCAGAACAAACATCGTAGTGATTAGCAGAGCCGTACGATGTTTGTTCTGCTAATCACTGCGGTCTAGCTCAGACTCGTGGTGTCTTGCCCCCGTACATAGTCTGTGTGAACTTCCTAGCCTTCGGCCGTCTACGAATCTTCGGCCGAGACTTGTACCTGTAGTACTGGTTGAATAAGAACAGAGCCACCAGACTGGTTCCGAGGACAGCCAGAACCGGGAACCAAGTGAACCGGTCCTGGGTCAGCATTTGACTGGAGAGATGCGACTGCAGACCAATGCCTGGTGAGTCTCCACCTGCGGCGGGGCCTAAATCCACGTCTGGGTGGTTGGCAGGAACAGCTGGAGCATTGAGGTCGATGGAGAGGAGTTTGATATTCTGAGGCTGGTAAAGGTTTCTGTACAAGAGAAATAATAAACAATAGTTGAGAGAAGTTTGCAATTTTGTGACTGGTAACATTTCCTGTAAAAACATAAATACTAGTTGAAAGAAGTTTGCAATTTTGTGACTGGTAACATTTCCTGTAAAAACATAAATACTAGTTGAGAAAAGTTGAATACTTTGTGGTGGTAAAAACTTCTGTAAAAAGAGAAATAAAAATTGGGAGAAGTCTGATATTTTGTGATGACAAAAGTATGTGTGAAAAAAAAATACTGGCTGAGAGAAGTTTGATACTTTGCTGCGGTAAACATTTCTATAAAACGATAAATAATAGTTGACGGAAGTGTGATATTTTGTCTCTGGTAAAAGTTTCTGTAAAAGGAGAAAATGCAGTTGTGGTTTCTGTAAAAGGAGAAAATGCAGTTGTGAAAAGTTTGAAAACTCATGGCTGCTAAAAGTTTCTGTAAAAGGAGAAAATGCAGTTGTGAAAAGTTTGAAAACTCATGGCTGGTAAAAGTTTCTGTAAAAGGAAAAAAATGTAGTTGTGGTTTCTGTAAAAGGAGAAATTACAGTTGTGAAAGGTTTGAAAACCTGTGACTGGTAACAGTTTCTGTAAAAGGAGAAATTACAGTTGTGAGAGGTTTGAAAACCTGTGACTGGTAACAGTTTCTGTAAAAGGAGAAATTACAATTGTAAGAAGTTTGAAAACCTGTGGCTGGTAAAAGTTCTCAGTGAAAACATGAAACAAATAATTTTTAAAGTGAAGTTTGATATGTGGCTGGTAAAAGTTTCTGGAAAAAAAAAAAAAAAAAAAAAAAACAACAAGAGAAATACAATTGAGAGCAGTTTGCTTTTTTGTCGCTGGTAAGGGTTTTTGTAAGAAAAAAAAAGAAAGAAAAAGATAAATAACAATAAAGAGAATAAGAAGGAGGAGGAGAAGACGGCAAGAAAATATAAAACTTACGAGGGCGCTGTTTTATTTATAGGGTAAGGCTTGGCCCACACCAGACTTGGACACGGGGGCAGAGGTCGTGGATGAGCTGTGCCTAGACTGCCTTCTATGACCTTGGAGTAACGATGCAGGTGGTTTCCTTAAAACATAAAATATACTGATGAAAATATAACACAATATAATGATTGTAACTGATATATGATATAATGACACACAGGGCATTATAAATAAAAAAATATATATATTAATATGTCTTTTGCCAGCTCTGCCGCCTTGTGTACTTTCATATCCAAGCAGTCCCTTATATTCTGTGCCTATCTTCATGTTGGTCGGCCCCTGCATCTCCGTCTGCTATTATTATTTTTCAACCCGCCGTGGCGCTTGATATTACCAAAATATTTCAGCTTCCGAGACAAGACGCAGTCCTCTTCATGTTTCCCGGCCCATCTACACACTGGCTGACTTTTTATTCATACTTTCTCAGATTGTTCTACGTCAGAGGGCTGTCACATTGTCCTGCCTCCAATTACATCAGCGCCAATCTTTCTTCATGTTCAAATCTGTTAGAATGTCAGTATTTCTTTTCTTCTCTGTCTATGGTATTTGTCGGCTCTGTGGCTAAGTCAATGCAAACGCTTCATAATGCCAGGATGCTGGGTTCGATCCCAGCTGCGGGCCATGCACTTTGCGTTGGTTTCGATAGTGGTATCAAGAAAGCTGACCGTCCAGAAAGCAATGGCAAACTACTGGATGTAAATTTGTCTAGAAAAACCACATAACAGCCAGGGGCTGTTGGGGTTGGTTCTGCAACGTCCTGTAAAGGACACACAACAAACTTATGGTATTCTGAGAATGTTTTTAGAGAATTTCAGCTCAAAATATCCAATTTTCTTCTTTAAGGACCAGGAGATAGTCCATTACTCACATCCGTATGTTGCTACAGGGAAGACGCATGCTCTCAAAATTTTAACTTTGATGTCCTTGCTGGTGCTTAACCACAGACTTGAAATACTGTTGAATCTTTGCTTTGCTATGGCCATCCTCCTTTTGACTTCTGTTGAACAGTCTCCATTGCTGTCTATTGTGCGCACACACACACACACCCCCCCCCCCCCCCCCCACACACACACACAGAAACACACACACATTCTCTCTCTCTACATATTTTTACCTTTTCTACCAAGAGTTACAGGGGTACATAAATCATTAAGGAAAAAAAATATATAAATAAACAAATTACCTTCCATCCTAGTTGGCAACTCAACAGCTGGGGGAAGCACAGCTTTATTTAGGTTAGACAGCACTCCTGGCAGAGAGTCGTGAGCAGTGTACTCCAGGAGTGCACTCAACAGCCAGAAACAATCTGCAGGCAAGAAGAATCATTCTAGAATCAGATCTGCTGTGGACTATTATTCTTCTTCGTTCACTCTAAAAAAAAGGTGGTGGGCAATACTTTGCTGTGGTTTACAGCTAGGCTGTGATATCTGCGCCTTTCTGCCCAACTCTTCGATTTCAGCAAATCCTTAATTATTTGACACAGCGGGTCTATGCTTTTGTTGTTCCTCCAAAAATGGGAACCCTGAGCCCGTATTGTGGCTTAATCAAGGATCACTTTCACTGCATACATCTCTCCTTAGGGGTCTTCATAGTGAAATGGTAAAATAGTACATCTTATTCTCTGAAGTCTGTTGGTTCAATTCTTGGACCGTGTCGTTCAGTCCTGTTCTGCCATTAAGGTAGAACACCCCTCAGCAACCTTAAAACTGAACGTTTATTGCGTTATGATTGATTTTAACCACAGAGATGGACTCTAGGTGTTTGCAAATTATGACTTGTGATTCCAGTCAGGTTCCAATGTGGCCACCATTATATTAAAAATTGCTTGTATTTATTAAAGATATCTCATCAATCAATTCACTCTAAACCGTCACATTTGACATATTTGTAGTGAAGCATTAAATAGAATCTATTTCCTGTAGCCTAAAAATATATGCAGGTCACTCACACTGTGACCCAGTGACCTCCATCACTGAGGCTTATGGGAAAATTTTACATCAACTTGGTTTAAATTGGTTTGAAAGAAAACTCACCTAAATGCTATCTGTAGTTAATATATTCACATTCTGCCCTCATAAACGTTTGTGTAGGCAAAAAGACAGCATTGACTACAAGTTGTGTAAACAGATCACTTTAGACAAGTTGGAAAAGTGACATGTCAGGGGCCAAAGTCAAGTGGGTTTTGCAGCTTCTTAGGGCGGCAGGGTGGAAAGGGCAGTTGGTATGCTGTGTCATGATTTACAGCACAGCTGTGATGGTTGTTTTTTTTAACCCAACACATTTGATTTCAGCAAACCCAGAGACTGCTACTCTCCTGTAGACAAACTTTGGAACAGACAAAAAGCAACAACTGTCTGTCACTGAGACTTAACAAGATGGTTAGAGTGACAACTGACATGATTACCGACAGAAACGAACCTTTCTGAAGATGGCTTGAGTCCAGGCAGTTGGAGTCGCCATACAAGGCCACCCTCCCTGAGCTAGGACCGGTGTCGACCTGATACAGACCCAGTATGGGCACATCTGACACAGTCCAGGTGCTGGCTTTCATCACCTCAAACCCTGCAAACACCAAAGCAACACATTAGATTCTTTCCTTGCAGCAGGTGCCCAAAGAACAATCATTAAGTGTATTTACTTATAACCCTTTTACTCCAGTAATCCTTTAGAGAAAATCCCACAACTAGGAAATCCGGTTAGGTTCACATTAATCTCCCCAAATAGAGTAGGTCACTTTTCATTCACAAGTTTTCTGGGCTGGTCGACTTTCCTGAAGGTTACGGGTGTGTCCCGCTCTGTTGTTTGTTTTCTGTGATGTCTTGCATTTAGGTTTTCGTTCCGCGAAAGAGTATGCCTGTGACATAGGTTGCAGCACTCTCTAGGGGGTTATGTTAGGACCAGTTTCTCCAGTCTGAAGCGTTAGAAGCGCTGGTATATACAACACCTAATATCAACGGCAGTGCGGAACACCACCGTAATCTTGTACCAAGGTGACAGGTTCAGTAACTATTAATCAGAAGTGAGCTAGTATGTATATGGGTGGGGCATGGGGAGATCAACATTACTTTTACCAGAACCCCCCCCCCCCCCCCCCCCCCCCCTCTCAAACCAACCACCCACCCACACACAAATCGTAAAAAAAAAAAAAAAGGTCACTAAAAAGAAAGTATTTACATAATTTTTAATACATTTTTCCAAAATAAAATTCAGAGGATACTTTCTATAGGTTTCATCCCCTTATTGATTAAAAAAAATGGATAACAGAATGCTGCTTTTATGTGTATTTTATATCTATGTGTATATATCTATTATATGTATTTTATATCTTTTATGTGTATTTTATATCACACTTTTGAGGTTTTAATTTGAAACTCCCTCGAATTTGCATAGACCAACTTACCCCTGATAGGCCGTGTGGTCAACAGCAAGCCAATCATCTTTCATCATTCATATTTCCAAGTTGGGTCGAACTGCCAATCACCTTTCATCATTCATATTTCCAACAGCCAAGGTAATTATCCCCCCCCCCCCCCAAAGTCCTTCTGGTGTGGATTCAAACCCAAACCCTCTAGGCCGGAAGGTGAGCATCTAGGTACTATTCTGGCATCTATACTAAATGAGGGTCAAATTCACACACGCAAGTTACTGACCTTGATTTTTCAATGTTTCAGTCAAAATGAGGCCATCGTCAGGAAACTTTAATATGCTTGTACCAGATGCATAGTACACTGAAATATATGGTAAAACCTCGTTAACATGGATTCACTTAAGATGAACACCCAATTAAAATTAACACGAACAACATGTATTATTCCCAAAACATTTATCAGTCCACAGTTAACATTCCTATTTTTAACACAAATTCTTGATTTTCCAGTTCCTTGAAATTCACACTGATGGGTTTTCTTATAGTTTTTAATCAATTAAATTAAATTATTTATAGCCAGGAAGGCTAACCAACCCATCAACAAATGGCCATGGAAGTTGGATGTGTCGGCCGAAGGTGCAAATATCGCAGCCATGTTGTAAATTGACACAACACAATTACATCTCTGGATGAACCCAGAAGAAGAAGAAAAAGGAGAAGAAGAAAAAGAAGAATTATTTATTGTTAACTATTTATCACTTTACATCAATTCTATTCAATATAAATCACTGCTATTTAATAATGACCAATTCTGATTTAATGTTAAGTATTTCTCCATAATTTGTTCTTTTTGTTCGCATTCACCGGCTGTAAATGCAGGCAGAAAGTTCTGGCTGTTGGCCAACTTCTGGATTTTAGTTTTGTTCCAGAACTTGATTTGTGCATGCGCATCAGTTTTACAGATCTGGTTTATTTGTACGAAGACAAGTGTGTTGATTCCTTGCCTCGCAGGCAGATGCATTCAGACTTTGAAGGAAACACATAACAAATCGACTCCTATAACATGCTTGTTAGGGAGGCAATAGGTCAGATCTTTTCCCCTCCATAATGGAACACACACAGGGATCTCAATAAGTCAGTTCTATTCATACGTAGTCAGTCCATTTCAAGTGTATAATTTTTTTAAAGGGCTAAATATTTCTAAGCAACGTAAATAATTTCTTTAAAATAAAAACAACTTCCATTCAATCATGTGCAAAAAATTAGCTTGGCGCAAGCAGGAAAAACAAACAAAACAAACTGTTTTCACAGAAAATAAACTCTGAAACAAAAATCCTGATTCTGTCTTGACCCTTTCATCCTAGAGCAGTGGCTCTTGACCTTTCTAATGCCATGACCTTTTAATACAGATCTTAATATCGTGGTGACCCCCAACCATACCATTATTTTCGTTGCCACTTCATAACTTCAATTATTATGTGTTTTGCGATGGTCTTTAGCGACCCCATGTGAAAGGGACGTTCGACTTTAAAAAAAAAAGATGTCGCGACTCACAGGTTCAGAACCGCTGTCTTAGAGCATGGCAATTCCCTCAAACTATTCTTTAAATGAAAAAAAATATCATTATATACAGGCTACTAAAACATTTTTTTTTACACTAAGTTCCGTTAAATAATTTTTATAATAGAAATATATGGAGGAAAGTAATCAATAAACATAAACGGAGCGGGAAATTAGACAATTATATTTCCTTGTCCCAAATAAATTTATATTGTGGCTCATACCATAACCTGGTGATCCTGGCTAAAGAATTATGATGTCATCTTAGCAAAAAAGGCGATTTCACCACCTTCCCCCCCAACATGATAACACCATGCTCCCCCTTCCCCAAGTTATTTTTAGCAAATATAATCATACCCTGCCTTCCTAAACACTGCACAGGCTCAAACAGAACCACTGCCATTAACCTGGCTTGTCAGTGTCAGGCCAATGCAACAATGCCAGTTTAGTGGTTTCCCTGGGATTTGTAATGGTAACTTAGGGCCAAAGGGATAATAAACAACATGACCAGACTTATGTCTCATGTACTGACAACACAGATGTTTCTCAATGCTACAGTGCTGGACCCTCATGTCTATAGGTATCACCCCTTCACTAATTTAAAAAAAAGGCAGAATGCTGCTCCTCTCTGGTGCATGTCAAAAGTGGGGTGGCCATCTTTAAACTGTCATTATGACATCACTGTGTGCATCTGCACCATGAAGTCACAAGCTTAACACTCCTGGCTTCTTTAACAACAATACTGACCAAAATAAAGATAATGGCATGGTTACTGTTATTTCTATCACAGTCTTAAGGTTTCCATTTGAAGCCCCCTTATTTGAACATATGCAGTTCCTGAAGTAAGTTTTCCGGAGGGTTGTTATGGCAGCACGGTTCTGTAAAGGACATGCTACTGACTGACTGACTTGAATTCTTGAAGTAAACGAATAATTACAGTTATTTCCTCTCTTGAACTTCTGCATTGACCCTTTAAAGGGTCACTGGCACATTGAGTTGTGGTTTACAGATAGCCTGCGATATTGTGTCTGTTAACCAAATACTTCTGATTTGAGAAAATTCATAATTAGTCCCCTTTTATGACACTCCGTATACCCCCCCCCCCCCATATGGGACACCGAACCCAAAAGAGATCTACTGAACAAAGAAAAAACAATCTCCCTCCCCCACACATGGGGCCCCAAACCCACAAGAGACATCTCCTGAACAAAGAGAGATGATCTCCCTCCCCCACACGTGGGGCTCCAAACCCACAAGAGTCATCTCCTGAACAAAGAAAGGCGATCTCCCTCCCCCCACACATGGGGCCCCAAACCCACAAGAGACATCTCCTGAACAAAGAGAGATGATCTCCCTCCCCCACACATGGGGCCCCAAACCCACAAGAGACATCTCCTGAACAAAGAGAGATTATCTCCCTCCCCCACACGTGGGGCTCCAAACCCACAAGAGACATCTCCTGAACAAAGAGAGATGATCTCCCTCCCCCACACGTGGGGCTCCAAACCCACAAGAGTCATCTCCTGAACAAAGAAAGACGATCTCCCTCCCCCCACACATGGGGCCCCAAACCCACAAGAGACATCTCCTGAACAAAGAAAGACGATCTCCCTCCCCCACACATGGGGCCCCAAACCTACAAGAGACATCTCCTGAACAAAGAAAGACGATCTCCCTCCCCCCACACATGGGGCCCCAAACCCACAAGAGACATCTCCTGAACAAAGAAAGACGATCTCCCTCCCCCCACACATGGGGCCCCAAACCCACAAGAGACATCTCCTGAACAAAGAGAGATGATCTCTCTCCCCCACACGTGGGGCTCCAAACCCACAAGAGACATCTCCTGAACAAAGAAAGGCAATCTTCCTCCCCCCACACCCACAAGGACATCTCCTGAACAAAGAGAGACAATCTCAAATGTTTCCAATAAGAAAACTTACTGTCATGGTCTCCTATCCTGAAGTCGCCTTCATAGACTGTATCACTGAAAGGGAAATGACACATGCCTGAATGTCTGCGTACATAGACAACATTAACTTTTTGTTCTTACACTTTACTGTAGATCCCTCTCCCTCACACACAGACAACATAACTCTTTGTTCTTGTATGTCTATTACTGCAGATATCTCTCTCTCTCTCACACACTCACACAAACATATTCACTTTTACACAGACACATACTCACTCTGTCCCTGTTCCTTATGGGTACCCACCCACTCACATATTCTCTTACATAGAGACACTCACCAACACACACGATCTGTAACTAAAATATTTTGGCACACACAAGTGCATGCATGCATGCATGCATGCATGCAGCATGCATGCACTTGCACGCGCACACACACACACACTTTCTGTCTCTCTCTCGATCTGCCCCCCACAGACAATCACTACATACTCAATCTGTAACAAACATACATTTTAACATACAGACACTCACCTACACCTCCTCCTTCCACCCATGCACGCACAAACACACACACACACACACATTCATTTTGTTACAGACAAACACTTACTTACACATTCAGTCTATTAGAAACTCTCTCTCTCTCACACTCACATACAAACACACTCTTCCACATCAGCCAATCTATCACAAAAACTCGTTCTCACACATACACAGTCTTCTCACACAGACAAACACTGGAACAAACAAAGACACTCACATACCCACTCAATCTTTCATATACACACACTGTCACACACATACACTCATCCACTAACATACTCTATCACACTCTCATCCACACTCAGTATCTCACAAACACTATTTCTTACACATACCACACTCTCTCCAAAAATATTGTATGACAGAAGGAAGATAAGGGGCAGAATGTAATGATGGGTTTACAAACAAATTAATAAGTCTTATACGCATCACTTACTTAACACCCTTGCATATATCACTTAACTAGAAGTCATTTACGCATTACTCACTCAACAACCTTGCACACATCACTCACCTAAAAGCCTAACACACATCACTCACCTAAAAGCTTTACACACATCACTCACCTAGAAGCCTAACACTCATCACTCACGTAAAAGCTTAAGACACACATCACTCACCTAAAAGCCTAACACATCTCACTCACCTAAAAGCCTAACACACATCACTCACCTAAAAGCCTAACACCCATCACTCACCTAAAAGCCTAAGACACACATCACTCACCTAAAAGCCTAAGACACACATCACTCACCTAAAAGCCTAAGACACACATCACTCACCTAAAAGCCTAACACATCTCACTCACCTAAAAGCCTAAGACACACATCACTCACCTAAAAGCTTTACACACATCACTTACCTAGAAGCCTAACACACATCACTCACCTAAAAGCCTAACACACATCACTCACCTAAAAGCCTAACACATCCATCACTCACCCAAAAGCCTAACACACCTCACTCACCCAAAAGCCTAAGACACACATCACTCACCTAAAAGCTTTACACACATCACTTACCTAGAAGCCTAACACACATCACTCACCCAAAAGCCTAACACACATCACTCACCTAAAAGCCTAACACATCTCACTCACCTAAAAGCCTAAGACACACATCACTCACCTAAAAGCCTAACACACATCACTCACCTAAAAGCCTAACACCCATCACTCACCTAAAAGCCTAAGACACACATCACTCACCTAAAAGCCTAAGACACACATCACTCACCTAAAAGCCTAAGACACACATCACTCACCTAAAAGCCTAAGACACACATCACTCACCTAAAAGCCTAAGACACACATCACTCACCTAAAAGCCTAAGACACACATCACTCACCTAAAAGCCTAAGACACACATCACTCACCTAAAAGCCTAAGACACACATCACTCACCTAAAAGCCTAAGACACACATCACTCACCTAAAAGCCATACCAAGAGGAGCCAGTAAATCGTTCAGGGCAGGAATATTTGCTCCTCCTGTATCTGGCATCCACCACTGCCTGTAGACGGTACAGGTCTTCTTAGTTACAAATAATATTCTTGAAAACTCTATGCAGTTACAATGAACACAAATGTGTACGTTACAAATGTGTACGTTACAAATGTGTTCATTACAAATGTGTACCACAGGTATCTTATCTGAGTTCTTTTTCTTTGTGTTTCCACACTGTAAAATCCAGAAGAAAGTCCTGGTTGTTTGTCCACTTCTGGAATTTAGTATAGTTTAGCCCAGAACTTGAGTTTTGCGGGCACACCTGTTTTCAGATCTGACTTACTTGTAGGCAAACTGTTGGTTCCACGCTTTTTAGTGGAAACCTTCATCACGTCATGGTGTGGTAAAAAGATTAAATACAAGTCAACAACACTGTTGAGTAGACAGACGAAGACATTTAAGACAGCAACACTGCTGTGTAGTCGGAAGAAGACATTTAAGACAGCAACACTGCTCTGAGTAGGCAGAAAAAGACATTTAAGTCAGCAACACAGCTGAGTAGGCAGAAGAAGACATTTAAGTTAATAACACTGCTGAGTAGGCAGAAGAAGACATTTAAGACAATAACACTACTGAGTAGGCAGAAGAATACATTTAAGACAGCAACAATGCAGAGTAGGCAGAAGAAGACATTTAAGACAGCAACAATGCAGAGTAGGCAGAAGAAGACATTTAAGACAGCAACAATGCTGAGTAGGCAGAAGAAGACATTTAAGACAGCAACAATGCTTAGTAAAAGAAACTGAAGACAGCATCATAGTTCAGTAGAGGAAAAAAGAATAAATTAAAGACAATAATATTAAAGACAGTAATATTAAAGACAGTAACAATGTTCAGTAAAGAAAAAATAAACAAGAAATGGAAGACTGCAATATTTTTCAGCAGAAGAAATAAGTTTTAAGATCTGGTTTTCCCCCAATAAACCGGGTCAATATTTCTAAACACACCACTTTACACAGCTGAAGATTCAACAACAGACAACTTCCACTTCACACATTAAGCTTGTGCTAAAAGTGTCACCACTCAGGCTTCCCTCACCATGGTCACACATACACAAAACAATTACCCTTCTCATAATCAAAATAATTGTGTTGAAAAAAAAAAAAAAACTAGACATTTATTTTGTGATGTCATATAGGGATTTCCAGGTTCCCAGCCCTGCTCTACATTCAACTCCACTTGTATGTGTATGGGTTTAAGCATGTAAATATGTTCCCACCTAGTGTTTTCATCATAGAACTTGACTTTCTTCATCACTGATACGTTGTACCAGTCAGCGAAGATGATGAGAGAGAGGCCATTGTCGATGTCTCGCTTCAGTTTAGTAATCTCCTCGCTGAAATATTCCTCTTCTGGGTCTACAACGAGAAGAGTGCCTGGACGAAGCAAGAAGAAGTAGTGAATATACACAAGTTAAACAAGCTGATGTGAGAGGTGCCTGTTACTGAACTTAATGAGGGTTGAAACCTACGACTGCTTGGCCAGTAGGCTATAATTCTAACCAATATTCTGTTATCTAATCTAATCTAGTCTAATCTATTATAATTTGGCTGTTGCTGCAAAGCCCCCCTCTCCTTCCCCATGCTACAAAACCACAACCATCACACAGGAAAGAACTAAAACAGCTGTTACTATTAGATTTATGAATTTAAAAAAAAACTACTTGATCAAGTGTAACATTTATCTTACATAATTGTAATGTGCAGAAATAGATGTCTGTCTGTCATAATCTTTCTACCTATCCCTCTGAGTGTGTGTATATGCATGTTTGTGTATGAATGTGTGGGTATGATATGTATGTTTCTATGTATGTACCTGTGTATGAGAATATATGTGGGTATATATGAGAGTGTATTATCCGTATGACTGGTTGTGCAGTATATATGTGCATTTGTGCGCATGCATTTACCATCCATGCCCCCCACCCTTCGATATTCATATTATGCATTTTGTTATATGAACAAAACATCATCATCATCATCATTAGGTGCCTTGCCAAATGGGCTGGGCGATCATGCCTCTCCATAATTTGCGATCTCCTGCAGCATGTATCAGTTCGTGTGCCGACACAACTCCATGCCATGCAACAAGACTGTCAAGCATCTTCTCTCGTTGTCTTCCTCTATCTCTCCTTCCACATATCTTTCCATTGGTCACATGTTCTATTTTCCCTCTTCTCCTAACATAGCCGAAAAAGGATGACTGTCTCCTTCTGATGTCTGTAATAAGTTGTCTTCGGGCTCCTGCCTCTTTCAAAACCTCTTGGTTGCTCTTTTTGGCAGTCCAAGGTATTCTAAGCATTATTCTGTAAAACCACATCTCTGAGGCCTCCAGAAATTGTTTGGCCTGCCTACCGATTGTCCAGGATTCACAGCCATATGTTAAAACTGGATGTATGTAGCAAGTAAGAATTCTTTTTCTAACTCTCAATGACAACGATATATTGCACAAGATGTTTTTCATATTATAAAATGCAGTTTTTGCCTGTCCTATTCTGTTTCTTATCTCGGTTATGCATCATCATCTGATGTTATCCATGTGCCCAGATACTTAAATTTCTGTACTTGTCCTAAAATAACACCATCAACTTTTATTACACACTTAGGAATAATGCGTTTCTTTGATACCACCATTACTTCTGTCTTCCCATTATTCAAACTGAGGCCCATTCTTCCACTTTCCAACACCACAATGTTTATCATTTCCTGTAGTTCTTTCTGACTTGTTGCTATCAAGACTGTGTCATCAGCATAACGTAAATTGTTTATATTGTGCCCACCAACCACAATTACGGGCATACCAATTAAAGCTCTCATTATATATTCACTGTATATTGAAAACAAATCAGGTGACAGTACACATCCTTGTCGTACGCCCCTCTTTATGCTTTGAAATGTACCTAAACAGTTGTTAATTTTTATAGCTGCTGTTTGCTGCTAATACATATTCTTTTTTATTCGTAGATCTTTCCTATCAATGTTTAATTTTTCTAACAGTTTGATTACTTCTTCATGCTTCACACAGTCAAATGCTTTTGTATAGTCTATGAAGCATATGTACAAATCAGTCTTTACTTCTATAGCTCTTTCTGACAATGTCCTTAGGATGTATATGGCATTGTTTGTACCTTTTCCTTCTAAGAATCCACATTGTTCATCGCTGATTTCTGGTTTAATTTTGTTTCTTATTCTTCTCATAATTATTCTCAGTAAAATTTTAGTCATGTGACTCATAAGACTTATTGTGCGATGGTCTTCACATTTTATAGTGCCTGGTTTCTTAGGCAGACCTATAAATATGGATTTTAAAAGGTCATTTTGAATATACCCACTATTATAAATATCATTTAAAAGTTTAGTTATTATTTCAATTCCAATTGAAAAATAAAGTTTGTTCAGTTGTTCTATGTGTCCGTCTATTCCCTCTCCATGTCAATGTTCACATTTAAGGCATTCACAAATGACCCCCATTGCTGCTGGTCAACTGCTTTTCAGCCGATGGCATCCTGTGTCTTTTTTCATTGCTTGACTTCCCTTTCTACTGCCCTTCTCTAGGTTTTCTTAAGTCATCCACATCTCTCCCCACAAATCTAGAGAGCTGTCCTTGCCAGTTTCACATGGAATTCTGTAAACATGTCAAAGACATCTCCATCTGTTTCCTTTGACAGGATTTGCCTAGTGACGAGCACTTTGGTGTCCTCCTCAGCTTGTCATTTGTGATCTTGTTTGGCTTAAGCTGCTGAAGATGAGGAAGGAGAACACATAGGAATGCCACGAGTGTTGTGATGTCAATTCTTGACTCAACTCAAATTGTTTGGTTTAAAAATTCACAAAATTCTTCCTACATTCTGAAAAGCCTCTAGTTTATGTGTAACTCCCACTGTCCTTTTCAAAACATTCACTGTTGTAATCTGCTGGTATGGCTCCCAGGAATGTAAACATATTGCATTTTAAAACATTTCTGTCAAATTTCCATTCATGAAGAAAAACATTTTGTTCAATGTATTCTGAGTAGTAAAAATAAAATAAAACGTAATGTATAGACTCAATTATTTAAAATTGTAATGTAAGTGATTAAGTCCACTTTTCATTAATATAACCAAAGTCTTTCCCATTTAGTGGGCTGTGGAACAAATTCAAGGAGTCCGGGACATCCTGTACACACAAACTTCAGAATACAATCTTTTTGCAACTCTTTTACAATTCTTAATAAGTTCATCAGTTACAATACAATCATTTTGCAAATCTTTTACAATTCTTAACCCTTTTGGGGACGACTGGGCCGATCTATCTGGCTTGGTAATATAAGCCTTGAGGTTGGCTGGCTGGTCTTCATACCAGCCAATCAGATTGCTTTTTGCATTTCTTGCCCATGTGGGCTGTTTGTTCAATGGCGGCTTTCATGAAAGTTTGTTGTGTTCTGTCAAATCTTCTTTGTGCATTACCTGTGCCCAACAATGGTGAAAATGACTGTTGCGTCATAGCAACCAAAATATAACAGGAGGCAGGAAAAGGAGTAGAAGCATGTGCCAGATGTGTCTGGAGACCTTCATGGATCTTGTTTCCCAAATCACAAGTTTTAGGTCTTATTCAGGCTTCATTTATCAGAAAATGTAGCCAAACTTTTCTATTCAACTGTGTTTGTCCTAAGCAAATAAAAAAATTTTGACAACAAGAATATATATAGTTTTGAATATGTTAATTAAACGCTTTGTCTTCTTAGCAGTTAAACTCCACATATGACTCGGTCTCCAAAGGGTTAATAAAAGGGTTAATAAGTTCTTCAGTTAGAATACAATAAAATACAACTCTTTTACAATTCTTAGTAACTTCTTCGGTAAGAATACGATTCTTAATCAGTTCTTCAGTGTGACCATTAAAAAGTATGGGGCCCGTGGCAGACCTTGCAAAAATAGGAGAAGTCACCAGGTCTTGGCTATCTGAGAACCTCTGATGTCAATGATTATGTTAAACAATCAGCAAATAACCCATTATATTAAGTTTTCAATAAAGAAAACCATTACATTCAATTTTCAATAAAGTGCTCCACTAAGTTAAAGTTTCAATAATTTAACTGATTTATGTCACCTTTTCATCAACAGGAAGACCAAGTTTACAGACACAAATATTTAAATTCACAACATGAATCAAATTCTCAACAACAAAAATAATAATGCACCAGCGGAAAGAAAATATATCTCCCACTGTGTCCAATAACAAAACAAATCCTGGCTTATCCTGAAAATGCTCTGTTGTGACTACAGACCGCATAATTTTTCTACCAACATCAAATCTTGACTTAATTAACTGTGTGATGTTTCAACAATGACAGTTGCTCTGCTGCGTTTGGAAATATTCTGTCGGGGAGGCCCCATCCTCTTCCACCGTGCAAGATTCCGAATGTGTAATGTGCTCTGATAGGGGTATGTTCTTTCATGCCACATTGCTATATGACGAACATTTAGTTGCCACGACACAGCAGAGGCAAACGTTCAGTTGTATGCTTTTATTCGCTGAATATCACAGCAAATCATAGGCAACGCATTCTCTCGTCCTCGTGTTCGTTCTGCTTGGCTGATTTCCGACGGCCTGGTCAATCCTCTCACACACTGCTTTGGTCCATCCGCATCTCTCGAATCACACAGTCATCCTCTAGCAAAGCCTTGTACGTGGTATTAGTACATGTAGGAAACATTCATATCTTCTCTCGAAACATTACAAGTATTCACAATTCCTCCATTCTCCTCAGGCGTTCACTTGTAGGGCCTCTCGCAACCAGGTCCGAACTTCAACTGTCTTACTCCTGTCTCTTGGTTCCATGTCTTCCGTTCCAGTCTCATGCTTTTCTTGTATCCCTTATTTAACTCACCACGGGATATTTGAGACCCACTTATCTCGTTTTTTTCTCTTGTATCACTGGTCCTCTGACCTTGTCCTTCCCATCGTGAACTCTCTGGGATTTCCGAGGGAATTCACAACATTACAGAATGCAAATTAAGTGTCCAGAGTGCAGTGATGTCAAGTCTTCATTCATTCATTCAATCATTCACCATGCATTTTTTTTTTTTTTGGGTAACACCAAAGACAGGCTATTGTTCATGCTCTGTTCTATCACAGAAAGTTACTGTATTAACCCATTCTATCCAGACAGATTACTCTCTTTTGTTAAGTAGTGTATGTAGAGGACTGCCTGGTCAAATGGTTAAGAACGCACAGCTCTCATGCAGGAGACTCGGGTTTGAATCCTTGGTAAAATTGGGGGTTTTTCATTCAGGGAAAAAATAAAATCCTAACCTGCAGTCTGTAGGTAGGATGAGCTAAAGTAAAAATAGTTTAGAACTAAAAGAGTTAAGTAGATAGTGTCATTCAGGCTTATGATTCTTTACAATGCTTTTGAAACTAGAATTCACAGCTGGCTGCTGAAGATGAGGACAGATAGTGTGTGGGAATGACGCAAAAGCTGTGACGTCAGAGATTTGACTCAACTCCTTGACACAATTACAAACAGCATTTGCCTTCATAATGCAGTGATAAGAAACACCATGCCCACATTTATTCAGATATAGACTTGGGAATGACAATATCAAGAGGAGTCGGCACAGAACCAGTACTGGACTTTATAGCTAGACAGCAGGTCAAATGGTTTGGCTATGTAACAAGACTGGCATCAGACATGGCACCACAGAGAGCAATGCTATGCAGATGCAGCAGTAACAGAGCCAGAGGTTGACCATGCAAAATATGGGCCACCCAAATATCAGAAACACTCAGAAGTACTACATACAAAGCGAACAGAAGGGCCTGTTCCAGAGATGTCTTCTTACCCTGATGCATTAAAGGATTAGAGAGACAAAAAAAGAAGATACACATGAACTTCCCTGTAACCAAAAACTTACCGTACTGACTGGCATCAAAACAAGAATATGGTGAGCCTGCAAACAACAATCAAAGCATCAGGTAAGTGTTTACAGTTGCTGGGGAAGTAGTATGTATTCAATTACAGTAAAACTTTGTTAACACATATTACAGACTTTTTAGTTCAACCATCAAACCAACCACATGCATTTTATTTTGTAGTTTCATAAATCTGGAAAGCATTTCTGCTGCCAAAAGAAAGAAAAAAAAACATAATTGTTATTCTGGATGACAAACTGAATGTTTCAACTGAATCAAGTAAATAAAAAGGTCTAACTCCTTCATCAATACCCTAGATCAGTGGTTCTCAACCATTCTAATGTGGCAACCCTTTAAACCTTATGTTGCGGCGACCCCCCAACCATACAATTAATTTTGTTGCTACTTCATAACTTCAGTGAATGTGTGCTTTCGGATGGTGACCCCTGTCAAAGGGTGGTTTGACCCTTGAAGGGTTGCGACCTATAGGTTGAGAACTGCTGCCATAGAGGCTTCAACAATGCCCCAACTTCTTCCACAATGTCCTGACTCTTTCAACAATGGCCTGACTCAATCAACAATGTTCGGACCCCTTTCACATTAGCCTGACTCAATCAACAATGTCCTGACTCTTTCAACATTGGCCTGACTCAATCAACAATGTCCAGACTTCTTCCACAATGTCCTGACTTTTTCAACAAATGTCTGACTCAATCAACAATGTCCAGACTTCTCCTTCCACAATGTCCTGACTCTTTCAACAATGACCTGAATCAAATAAAAATGTCCAGACTCCATCCACAATGTCTTGACTCTTTCAACAATGACCTGACTCAATCAACAATGTCCCGATTCCTTCCACAATACCTTGACTCTTCTAATAATGCCCTATCGCTTTATACAATGTCCTAGCTACTTCAACAATACCCATATTCCTTCAGTAATTCTCCAGCTCCTTCCATAAGATAATATCCAGACTCTTTCAACACCACTTGGGCACTTCAGAAAACAAAACAAAAAACAGACTTACCTAAAACCTCCACAAAATATCCCTTCTCTCTGAGGTGTTGATACATGTCTTTGAAGTTTGTGTGAATGTGATCTCCATTCCTGCAAGCCACAAATAAATATTATTGTGATTAATATCCCCACTCCTGCTAAATGGAGAATAAATATCAATATTATCTGCATTCCAGCAAAATGTGAATCAATATTATCCAGAATATGATCTCCATTTCTGCAAAGCACAGAATAAATATTGTCTCAATAACAGCAGGCTGGAATGCTCAGGGCAAGCCCTGATGTTAGACTGGTTAGTGAATTTACAGTTAAACCTGGCTCAATTCAGGAATCATTCATCACTGAAAAATAGGTCAACACAGCCTCACCTCTGGGGGTCAACCCAGCCTCACCTCTGGGGGTCAACCCAGCCTCACCTCTGGGGGGTCAACCCAGCCTCACCTCTGGGGGTCAACCCAGCCTCACCTCTGGTGGTCAACCCAGCCTCAACTCAAGGGGTTGACACAGCCTAAATTCAAGGTTCAACTCACACCCAGCTCAGAGCTCAACCTAGCATAAACTTTGGGATCAACCCAGAATACACTCAGGGATCAAGCTAGCATCAACTCAGGGGTTGAACTCAGGGGTCAAACCCAGTATAAACTAAGGGTTCAACCTAGCCTCAACTTAGGGGTCAACCCAGCATAAAGTCAGGGATCAACCCAGGATACACTCAGGTATCAAGCTGGCCCCAACTCAGAGATCAAGCTAGCCTCAACTCAGGGATCAAGCTAGCCCCAACTCAGGGATCAAGCTAGCCTCAACTCAGGGATCAACAGTCAGTCTAGAACTTTTTCTTTCCACCATCTTCTTTTATCTTTTACTATGACTCCTAGGCACTGTTTATCATTTGACTTTTCTTTCTTGTGTCATTATCTGCTGGTACCACAATTTAACAGTGTTTCCCAAACTTTTCTTGGTGGCGGCGCCTTTTTTCAATAAAATTTTCTCCTCCGCGCCCTCACCTTAGTAAAAGTATGACTATTCGCATGTAAGAGATTAAAAAAAAAAACTGTTTATCTTGGAATATTTTGCGGCGCCATTGTAAAGAGGTCGCGGCCTTTCAGGGGGCCGCAGCGCACAGTTTTAGAATCACTGGTTTAACAGAGGAGAGTTAGCTAAGCCAGGGCATGGCTGACTGCTTGATATATTGTAGGGCTGTGAAGTTTTGGGTTGTCTGTGACTTCTCTGATTTATCTTTTTTCTATGTCCTCCTCTTCCTCTTAGTGTTTGATTTTTCATATTGTATGCTCTCGTTGCCTGCATCACTGGAATCATATTAATTTGGTAGCCAAACCACTTGAGTCTTTGTTTCTCAATGAATTTAATTATGGGTGCTGTTGCAATAGTTCTCCTTATCTCTCCTTTTCTCACATGGTGTTTTTATGATTCTGCTACATGTATGAATCATCAGATCAAGCAGAAGCAACTCATCCCTCCATACCTTGGTATTCTTTCTATCTCGCTCCCTGTGTAGTCTTCTATCTTTATGTTTCTAATCCTCCCAAATATTTATTATTCTGATAATGAATCCCAAGCAGAGGAAATTCATCAGGCTTAATCTTGATTTAACTATCTACCTGCCACTCTGTGTCTCTCTGCTGCCTCTCGACCTCTACCTCTGCAATACTATATCTGTGTGTTAATTACTTGTAGCATATGTGTAACAATTTATGACCTGTATGAATTCCATCTCTAATAGAAGTAACTCAGAAGACCACACTCAAAGTTAAACTATGTTTGTATGTTAACACCTCCCTTCCTCCTTCCCCTTCTTTCACTCTCTCTGTATCTGTATCTACCCCCCCCCCCCCCCCCCCCCCCCCCCAACTCTCACAAACATCGCTACACCTTTGTTTATCACTTCTAAGAAATGTTTGTCAATACATTCCTAGATGTTCCCCACGTAAATTCCAAGGCCCTGTTGTGAAGGGCAAAAATGTACATACAGAAACACTGACCCTAATAAGCATGTCATGAGAGTAAACTAATTAGCGATGTTTTCTTCAAAGTTGGAGTGCACCTGAGAAGCGAGAAACCAACAGCCTGCACACAAATAAGCGAGATCTGTAAAACGGATGTCACACAAAACTCAAGATCTGGAACATGACTAAAGTCTAGAAAGAGATAAACAACCAGAAATGGACAAACAACCAGAACTTTCCACCACTGTTTATGCCAGTGAACGCTAAGAAGAAAAAGACAAGAAATTATGACTAGGAAGTTTTAAAGAGAGGGAAAAGAACAGATAGGCACAAATATAACCAAACATCTTGACGTCTTTTATCAACTGACAAAACAACAGGATGATTAAACAAGCAACAAGGTCAACATGGAACAGGAAATAGGTGTTTGAATCTGTAGACTGGCACAGAAAACTTACCAGTCCAGTGGGTCATTCTTCATGCGAAGGTTATCCCTGGGGAAGTAGCCGGGAGGGTAACGAAGATTGTGGTATTGATCCCACAGAATTCGTTTGCTGCATGGACAAATTAAAAACAAATAAATAAATAAGCATAAGCTGATTATGAAAGAGGTGAAGTCAGTTTATTACAAACACCAGAAAGAGGGAGTTATTATTTTCCCACAATTTGAGGGGAAAAAACATGTGACAACTAGAAATATTAATGGAAAGAAAGACAGAAGATATGAGAAGATTTTATGACAGCCTTTTGTCACAGCATGGAGGGGTGTCAGCACATGAACAGTTATAAGTGTCAGAGATTGGAGATTGTGGAAAGGCATGATAGCTCATGTCAGTGCTTTATTAATATCTTACCCCCAGATGATATCACAGGACAGTCCAACATTTTAGAGGGTGGTAAGACTGAGTTTCCTGGCTTTCTGATGCTTGTAACGACCCCAAAACATCTAGAATTGGCCCTAACCCCAACTCACCTAGGACCCAAGAGAGAGTGCAGCCCAGGTCCCACGACTGCATGCAGCCTATCTACAACCCCCTGAAATATAAGAATGTTCCGTGACCTGTGGATTTCCCCTGTTTGGAAACGGATATTAATAAAGCACCCCCAATGTCAGTCTGCAAGACACCTAATGATCATAATCTGATCTGGCATTCAGTCATCCAATTGTATGTGTGGGCAAAAGAAGAATGAAGAAATCAAGGAAACCTATGTTTATGATGTCTTAGAATATAGTATTTTGAAAATAATATGCAAACCAAGCAGATTTCCTAGTATAAACATCTCTTGGCTTAAATTTTCTGCCCTAATAAAAAATAAGTAAAACCAAACTGCCTGCTCACATATTTGTAACCGAATGTTATGTATACATTTACATTCAGAAATATCCACTCTCCATTTCTCCATGTGTGTCTACACCTTGTCTGTGTGTTTCCCTGCCTGGGTGTGTGTATGTGTTTGTGCCTGTGGCTGCATGTGTGTGTTTGTGTGGGTTTATGTCTGTGTGCGTCGGTGCGTGTGTTTGTAGGTGTCTTTTTGTGCGGCAACATGTGTGTATGTGTGTATAGCTGTGTGTGTTTGTATGTGTCTGGGTTGTATGCATGTGTGTTTTAGAGCGTGTGTATGTGTGGGTGACTGTGTATGAGTGTGTGCACACATATGCATGTATGTATGTATGTCTGTCTGTCTGTCTGTCTGTCTGTCTGTGTGTGTGTGTGCGCGTGCGTGTGTGTCTGTCTGATTGCATGTCTGTATGTATGTATGTATGTATGTATGTATGTATGTATTATGTACGTATGCATCTATGTATATATTTATGCATGTATATATATGTGCATGTGTATGTACGCATGTAGGTATGTGCATGTTCGTATGTATGTGTATGCCTTTATGTGTGTATTGAGTGAATGTGCCTGCATGTGTATGTGCATGAGGTGCATGTTCGTATGAATGGGTTTGCGTGCCTATGTGTATGTGTGTGTGAGTGAATTGGTTTGCATGTGTATGTACGCATGTAGGTATGTGCATGTTCGTATGTATGTGTGTATTGGGTGCCTATGTGTGTGTGTGTGAGTGAGTGAATAGGTTTGCGTGTGTATGTGGGTGTGTGTGTTCGCACACGAGCGTGTGCACATTTTATACCACCCATGCTTTTATTTTTGACTTGACATTCATAATGAACTCAAGATGTTTGGTTATATTTGTGCCTGTCTGTTCTTTTCCCCTCTTTTAAACTTTCTGGTCAAAATTTATTTTTCTTCTTAGCATTCACTGGCATAAACAGTGGTGGAAAAATGTGCCCTGAACATAACATGCTTTATTGATGAAATACAACTGCTGTGTGAAAGATGGGAGTCTGGAAGGGCTGAATGTAAGACAGGCCTGCGTGCCTAATTTGTGACCCTTGGAAAATAAGTTTGTTCATTCAATAATAACAACCAGTAGAAATGACACTAATGGTCTCAAAAATTAATCTGTGTAAACATGCTCTCTGGCTCCTCCCCCTCTCACCCCCACCTGTCTCTCTCTTACATTTCAGCTTTTAGCATTTTGCCAAATAGCATTTATTATGTCTTCCCAGACAACAGTATTAATTTTTGCTACTAGCATGCACAGAAACCACAGCACCTGAATGATGAGTACCTTTTTTCTATATCACAGAGCCCAGGCAGTATTGTAGAGATCCTGTGTTGCTCATGCAAGATGAACTCTCTTTCTTACTGACTTCAGAAGAAAGATAACATCAATATACTGGAGAATAAGGCATGCTGCGGAAGATGCAGAGTAGCGCTCTGTCTGTTCACCTGTCAGAGCTTCCTTCCTAGACCAGATGCCAACCATGGGTAAGTGTCTGGTCTGCCATGTCACAACATTAAGATTTCGGAGTGCGTTTCCTCATCATAAGATAAGGCTAGTATACTGCTCAACTACATCGGCCATAGACTCAGAATGGATAAGACAAGACCTCCCCATCAAGCCCTCATATGGACACCGGAAGGGAAAAGAAAATGAGGAAGACCAAGAGAGACTCTGTGTAGAACCATCATCAGCGAAAGGTTAAACCATGGGCCAAACAAACATCCAAAACCTAAAGCAAGTGGCAACAAACCGTCAGACATGGACATTCAATGAGTATGATCCGGAGGGTTCAGGCAGGTTCAAGTGCGAAGACAATGGCTTGAATCATTACAGAAGTCCACTGTTCGTGGAGTCACCTTTATTTTTGTTCCGGGACACGCAGGCGTCGATGGAAATGAAAGAGCTGACAGGTTGGCTGGATCCGCTATCACTACCGACGGTCAGCCTATGGATCATGCTGATATTATTAATGCCCTCAGAGAAATGGGAAGGATAGAGGACTTTGGTGGCAGTGAATCCACATCACTCGCCAGAATGGCAGACTTGGGAATTAAGATTGGCACAGCAAAAAACGAGACGCACACCAGCTACGCCAGAAGACTTGTTAATCAACATAGAACTGGTACTATTAGCCATCGGACGTTGGGGTTCATACTGAGGGGAGGATCTGAGCACCTATGGATATGTCCGGAATGCAATGAGGATAACCCATCTAACTAACTAACTAACTAGACATGGACACTATGACCTCTGCGCCACCCTAGACCCAAGAGGAAAGACTAACTAACTAACTAACTAACTAACTAACTAACTAACTAACTAACTAACTAACTAACTAACTCTGCACTCCTCCATCCGAAGCTATTGGCACAATATGAGATGTCAGGTATTCCTGTGTGACATACACTGGGTAACATTCAACATAAACAACTACAATCTACAGAAATTAAACTAATGTTATGAGTACGTTAATCCAGAAATGTATGTTACTTGAGCAAACATGAATTTGCTGGCATGGGGTAAGACAATGAGAAAACCTGATAAAAATACAACTAGAATATTGCTGCATGGGAACCCACAAGGTCAAAGGAATAAAGGCAGACCACAACAACAACAAAAAGCATGAAGAAGAGAATTAGAGAGTGAAGTTAAAAATTTGTCTTTTGGACATGGGTTGAGCTGCACATGACAGCAAAGGATCGGATAACTTGACCTGAGTCGGATTATTGCTTTTGCTTCACATGAAGACAAAGAATAAGAAGAGGAAACATGATTTTCCAGGAGAAGATCTGCACATATCTTGTCTTGTACACTTACTTTCTTGGTGGAGTGGGTATAATCTTTGCCCTCACTGGCAGCACAATGGTTGACTGCCTGGGTTCGGTTTCATCTTCCTGTATGTGTCCCAAACAGCAAACATAAGTTTCGAAACTACGTTAAGTGTGCTAAAAATCATCAATTTCAACAACGGTGGGAAAATATCAATCCAAATGAAAAGTAGAACGAGCTAACTTCAGAAAACCACAATTGAGAATAAGAAAATGAATGTTTCAACTACAAAGCCTTTATCGGCACATGTCATACAATTACAAACATAATTGCATAAAAATCACTAATCTGTATGGTGAGGTTTATATCAACAAATGCGCTTCGTAATGCTGGGGTGCTGGGTTTGATTCCAGCTGCAGGCAATTTGGGAAAAGAACGCCTTGCATTGGTTTTGACAGTGGCACTGAGAGCTGAATGTTCAGACAGCAATGGCAAACTACCAAACACAACATTTGCCAAGAGAAAAAAAGTCTCTTAATTGCTAGTTTGTGCTAGAAGGGGAATAGAAGGGCAGAAAAGGGGGGGGGGGGGGGGGATAAGTGTCAGTTGAAGTCACCTGTTTGATGTTTAAAAACAAAACAGATGCACTGAGGAATGATCTGGCATTAAAAGACCCACTGCCTGGCTACCTGAAACACACATAATTACTGCAACAATACTCAGCAGAAGAAGCAGAGGAGAGACAGGACCGTTTGACACACTGTTATTATAGAAGCGCTCAAGTTACCTAAGCCATCAGGTTCTAGCACCCTTGCTTGCGCTTCTACATGTTTTGTTTCTTTGATTGTGTGTGTATGTGTGTGTGTGTGTGGGGGAGGGGGGGGGGAGAAGAAGGAGCAGCTTTAGCCTCTTATATATTTTTGTAATAAGAATAAAACAGGACAGAGACCAAGACTTGACTCCATATTTTTTTTGCAGAAATAATGACTAAACCATAATTTAAAAAAATAAAAAAACAACGATAACATAACCCTTGACCTGTTAGGGTTGTGAAGGTGTATTGACATTGACAGAAGCACTAGCACATAAAACCTGCCATCCTTCTCTGTCTTCCACTTGATGAACAAGTGTATGATTACCTAGTCCTGTCCATTTCTTGATGTTGTCATTCCAGGTTCTTCTTTGTCCTTCTCTTCTTTGTCTATAACCACAACGTTCCTTGAAGCACAGTCTATTTAATTGAATCATGTCTCATCACATGCGCAAACCAAGCTAGCTTACAAAAATTTCACTACTGCCAAGAGAGGCTCCTGATGTCCTGCAAATTTACACATTTTGTCTCTGACATATTCATTAGTTTTGTGTTCTAAATAAAAACGACTAAAAGGAAAGGCAAGACGGATATAGAATCAGACAGTTACTGATACCATCGGAATTTTACCTCTTCGCTTGCTGCTGAAGATGGGGACGAAGCGCTTATGGGGGTGTCCCGAGTGCTGTGATGTTGATTTTTAATTCAACATTCTAAATAAAAACAATGTTGAAGATTTGATCTGATATTGTGGTTATGTATGATTTGATGATACTGTAAGCTCTACTATAAAATGTTCAAGGAAGCAGAGAATCACTACAAAAGGTCTCATTCTGTATGCTGACTACCTCCATAAATTGACTGGTTTGCTACACTCCTTTAGGTGGTCAGTCAGCTTTTAGAGGTTCTACTGTATCATATGATTCCACAAGCATATTCATCTTACTTACCTCTGGGGGTGATTCAATGACGACAGTGACCTGGCCTTTGGCAACACCATCCCAAGAAGCAGCTTCCTTGGAGGCGGTGATAGAGATAGCCAAATAGCCAGACCACGGCCACAGGTCAGCAGAATATGAGAAAGATACATCGATGTAGCCTCCATATTCTGGAGTGTATGGTTCCCATTTAGGCTGTAGAGGAAAAAATCACACAAAAATTAACACACTTAGCAAAGACAGACAAGCCATGACAAACAAGCAATGTGTACTAAAGTAGAGGACTCTTTTCCATGCCTTCTTTGGGGATACTGGGCACAAAGAGCTAGACCTATACTTTATAGACCAATTGGCACTAGGTGGATGATCTGGTCAGCATCACACCATTCGCCTTTACTTCCCAGGACTTTACCTGATACCCATTTAAGGTTGGATCAACCTGGGAGACAAAGTCGGTTTATAAAAAGTCTGGCTCCCTCAGGATCTGAACCCACAACCATCCAATTGGCAGATGAGCATCTAGTTACTACACCACGGCAGTTCCCAAACAAGCAATGACGAACAAGCCACCATTGTAGTTACCACATTTGTAGTGTAGGCGGAAAAAAAAGGCGGGGGTGGGGGTGGGGGCGGCAGGGTCTCTGACCCTGACGATTTAGGGCCCTATAGCTAGTGCTGTTGCCATGGGATGTGCAGGTTAGAATTTTATTTTTTTTTCTCTCTCTCACCAAAGATTTGAACCCAATTCTCTAGCATGAGCCCTGCATTTTTATTTTAACCAGCTGTTCCTCCACAAAAAATTTATGTCCGGTCAAAATACTGTACCCAGGCTACCAGGTCAACCACACACTGGTTAGCAGGAATTGTCTGAAACGTAAAGGTGGTTGGTGTAATGTTAACCTCCTCACCCATGGAGTGTTAACTGGTCTACAATGGGTCCATCAACATAAACCTAATGCGCCAATAGGTGAAAAGCTAATAAAGTCACCGGGTGTCCCATAAGTTTCCCATACAAAGGAACGCCATTAAAAAATCAACTCCAGCTGTGCTTACATGTGTTTTTTTTTTAGCAGTGGAGCTCACGCATTAAAATGTGTTTTTTACAACAATGCTATTTCTGTCTATGTAAGGAAACACGAATGGCAGTCGCTGTGTACGGCTAGATGCTCGCCTGTGGATAGGAAGTCGTGGGTTCGGGCCCTGACGGAAGCCAACTTTTTTTTTAATTAAAGAAAACGACCTTGGCTTCCAGGTCAACCATGGGAAGTAAAGACGGCTGGCGTGATGCTTGCCCTAAATGATCAATAGCCTTTACTTTTTTTAACTGACAGAAAAAGTAAAGAAATCTCAGTGTAAAGCCTGGTTTTAAAAAAAGGGGGCGAGGAGGGATAATTCCCTGGCACCCACAATTCCCTTGCCACCCACAAATCCCCTGCCACTTACAAATGCCCTGCCACCTACAATTCCCCTGCCACTTACAAATCCCCTGCCACCTACAAACAATTCCCCTGCCACCTACAAATCCCCTGCCACCTAC